AACACACACACACACACACACACACACACACACACACACACACACACACAGGCCTCCCAGGCCAGGAGACAGTCTTCTAGTAGCAGCTCTGTCTGACAGCCCTAACCTAACCCCATTTACAAGGAACAGGCCTTCAGAGTTCCTTAAACTCTTGGAGAGAAAGACAAAGACCATGGGAGGAAGGGAAGAGAAAGGGGTAGGAAGAACAGGAGGAGAGGCTTAGACACAGAGCCAGGGTTCCGGTGTGTAACTATGAGGGACAGAACAATGAGTGAATGTAAGGAAAAGAACAGATACAGAAAATAGGAACTGAGATAGTGAAACAGACAGGGTAAAGGGGAAATAAATACAAAGATACAGGCTGATAGTGAAAGATCCACAGGGAGAGAGAGAGAGAGGAGAGGAGAGGAGAGGAGAGGAGAGGAGAGGAGAGGAAAGAGAGAAGGAACAAGCCCAGCTGTGGTAAAGCACACCTGTAATTCCACTATAATTCCAGCACTCTGAGAGGCTGAGGCGGGAGAATTGCAAGTTCCAGCCCAGCCTGGGCAATTTAGCAAGACCTTATCTTAAAAGACAAATGTAAAAAAAAAGGGTTAAGGATGCAGTTCAGGGTGAAGGTCCTTGGTTCAATCTCTAGAACAATGAGAGAGAAAGACAGGGAGAGGAAGGGAGGAGAGGGAGAAGAAGCAGGGAGGAAAAGGAAGAAATAGTGGCAAAGCTAGTTGTTCCTGCGGGTGGATCTGGTAGAAGAGGAAGGATCACACACTCACGTCAGTGGTTGCCAGTTGAGGGACACCTGCCTCTTCCCCAGGCCAGGGCCGGGACCAGGACTGGGACTGGGGGTTGGCACTGGAGGTAGCCGGGTCACGCACCGCTGTGGGCCTGCACACTTTTCAGACGGGCAGCTTCGGACCCTGCAGGAGGCTTCGGAGACAGCCAGGGACTAAGTAGGGAAGGAGGGAACTAAGTCTTTTCCTCCTTCAAGTGCATCCAGCTCTTCAGGTAAAGGAACCCCCAACCCCTCTGCTCCTACTCCTCCCTCCCATACCCTGCCTGGAAAACCCACCTCGGATGCAGCGGCTCCTCCTAAGGGTCTGGCCTAGGCAGCAGCGACACACAGCAAGGCTATAAACAGGGGAGTGGAAGTCACTCGGGCCCTAGCACCCCCACAACTCCCAGAAAGAGGGCAACAGGGCAAGGGAAAATCAACACAAGTCTTATATCTGTCAGAATAAATATGACTGACTTGAGGCACATCTCCGCATGCCTCAGTCTCCCTATCTATACAGTGGAAAAGAAAAATTGTCTTACAATCTCCAAGAGTGAGAAGACCATAGCAAACTTACTTTTATGTCTTAGGAAGTAGGTTTGGTGGTAAGTTTTTATGGGGAAAAATTTTTTTGGATACAGGGTCTCACACTGTAGTTCAAGCTGTCTTTGAACTCACTATGGAGCCCAGGCTGGCCTCAAACTCGGAATGATCTTTCTGTCTCAGTGTGTGTCCCGAGTGCTGGGATCACAGGCATGGGCCACCATACCCAGCTCTGGAAAAGATAGTTAAAGTCTTTTTTTGCGTGTGTGTATGGTACTGGGGATTGAGCCCAGGGTCTTTACCCTGAGCTACATCCCCAGCAATTTAAAAATATTTATTTTGAGAATCTCAATAAGTCACTAAGTTGCCCAGGCTAGGCTGTAACTTATGATCTTCCTGCCTCAGTCTCCCAGAGTGCTGAGATTACAGGAGTGCGCCATTATGCACTCTTTAAAACTCTTTTTTAAAAAAATATTTTTAAAGAAGTAATCTACATGTGTGTTTCCAAGCCTACACTGTCATCCCTTCCACTGGTCCCTTTGGTGTAGGATGTCCCGCACCATCCTAGGCGTGGCCAGGAGGTGGCGCCACGGCCACAGGCTTCTGCTGCTGGGGACCGCCGCATCCCCCACGACTGGGTAGCAGGGTGCTGAGGTGGAACGGGATACCGGAGACACAGTCCAAGACTAGGGATCCCGAGGCCCCAGTTCTAGCCCGTTCCTATCCTTCCACGCTGCGTGTCCTGGAGCCAGCGTCTCCTGGTCTTTGGGCCTCGCTTTACTGCCTGACCGGGAGGAAGGGGTCGTTCCTGGAGATGACTGCAGTCCCAGAGGGTCTCAGTGGCCGAGCCTCCACCTCCAGCAAACGTGCTTCTAAACCAAGGGGCCCCAGACAAGTCCATTCTCCTCAGCCTGAGAGGGGGCGAGGGACGAGCGTGCATGCTCAGGCCGCGACAGGGGACCGGAGGAGGATGCTGCCCAAGCGACACCCTGCGCGGGAGCCCTACCAGACCAGGGGCGCCCAGTGGGGGACGAGTCCGCCCGAGGGGAGCCTCCGAGACCCCCAACTCTGCCGTCCTCCCTCCTGCCTTTTCTCCGGGTTAACCCCTTC